CTCTATTCGTTTAATACGTCTAATACGTCTAATACTTGGAAAAGTACTGGAAATTGGGGGGACGTTTAAAAAAAGGGAGAGAGGGAGGAGTAAGAATAGAGGGGTATGGAAAATATAAGAGAAACAGAGAGGAAAGATAACCAAGAAGATGCGAATGAGAGAACGAGGAAATAGAAGGATAGCGGAAAGGGGTGCCTCGTAATATCCTGACGAGTCCGTGGATTCCGTCATGTGTGCTTAATCACTTTCCAGTTGACTCGGCAGTCTGCAACCCCATTATCGGCATCTCACCATCCGGAAAATTACTCTTTTATTCTCGAACAACTCAGCTTCCCGATGTTCCGTGTACCACGATATTCTCTCTCTCTCTCTCTCTCTCTCTCTCTCTCTCTCTCTCTCTCTCTCTCTCTCTCTCTCTTTCTTTCTTTCCTTCTTCTCCCATTTGCCCGCTTCACTCTTTTCCTGCTACCAACCAAGTCGATTTTAACTCGGCCGGTGCTCGAGAGTTCTTTTTTCCAACTGCTTCTCGTAGCTTCGCCCAACCCCGCAAGCGAATTCGTCTATTTCGCTCTATTAAACCTTATTGTCGTGAATTCTACCCATCCGGCTTCCGGAAACCGGTAGTACAGGCTCGGAAACTGAATGGGTGCAGTGAAAATAAGAACGGAAGCGGTGAAGTAGTGTGAAAAGAAACAAAGCAGAAATTATTTCTTTCTCTTTCCTTCCCTTAAAAAAATTTATCTACTAATAAACCAAACTTTTATTAATATTTTGTGCTTTTCTTACTTTTTAAGACGTTGTTAAGAAGCGATAATTCGATCGGTTAAACAAAGATTTAACGACGTTGGTGTAACCATAAAGGATAAGAAATACGCGAAGTTATAATTTTTGTAAACGATTATTTTGAAGGTCAAGAGCTCTGTCAAAAAGAATTTTGATGCAAAACCGATCTTTATTTGAAGTTATATATTTTTTATATAACAAAATCGTGAAATTACTGCATAGCTTGAGACATCTATCTCTTGCGTTTAATGGCAGACATTTTTTTTGCAACAGGATATTAAGAAATTTGTATTTCTTTGAGAAAAAAGTAAAACATAATCTACTAAAATCCTAAATATTAAGTCATCATTATTGTTTTCAGGGGTAAGAAAGATATAACAATCTCATAAAAATAAAAATGCTGAAAGTTAAAACGTCAGAGCTATCAATAGAAAGTAGCGAGGTTGCGCATCGTCGACAATAGAGATTTAATAAGAAGCTCGTGTAAGAGAGACGGTGTAAAATGGTACGTTATTGCGATTTTGTTTAGTTCAGGACTTACGTTCACATGATGTTAATATCGAAACTCGAAACGAATTAATGTTATTTAATACTAATGGATAATCAATCGAGTTTTTATCGAAAAGTTACTAATATCCATTATAAAACATGATTGTAATTACTGACTTGTTAATATTATTGTTAGCCAACTTTTACTCTGTATATGCGAATTGCAAAATACGAGGCTGTTGTTATTTGTAAATTGCTGCCGTAGAGCAACACATTTGTTTTCGCATAGCATTGGTGGAGCAAAAGAATAGAATCACCCAGAATTAGCAAAAAAAAAACAGCAAATCGATCTTATTTATTTTCGAAAACTAGTAGATACGAAGATTTGCACGGAGAGAATCCATAGTGAGGAAGAAACGCGAGAAAACCTGAACATCGGTGAGAGAACGAGAAAATATGTGAAGAAAGAAAATAATGAAGAGGAAACATGGCGGAGAAAAGAGAAAGAGAGAAGTTAAGCGGATCAATGGCGAAGCCCCGATGAGGCGGAACGCTGGGATTGGTAGCCATATCTCCATTCTTTTTACATTTCACTCTCCCTTGCCTCTCCATTACCGGCTCACTTGCTTTCTCCATTTGCTCTCTTTTGCTCCTTCTTTACCATACAGTTTTCTTTAATCAAATGTATGCAACGGAGATCGAAAAATGAAGCTAATTAGAAGTATATCCATGGAAGGATGGGAGAAATCATGGAATTGCAAAAATTGAAAATAAAGGAAGGGACGAGAAAGAAAAGGGATTAGAAAGAGAGACTAGAGAGTGAAGAATGGACACGAAGATTACGAATGGGAGAATGGGTAGAACAGATGAGGCGCGGAGCAAAGAATAAAAGGGAAGAAGGAGTTAGAACCGCAGTACTCGACTGTCTGGCAGCGGGGGAGAGAATGGACGAATATGTGATGGGTTCGGAGAAGTATTGAGAGTGCGGAGGGGGGGATTGTCGTTCCGAAGTGGCAAAGGAAGGGGCATGAGACAGGGTGAGGTCGAGTCTCGGCTCAGTTCGCGAAGAGTAAAGACGGAATGCTCCCTTGTTTGCAAGACAAAGAACCTGAGCCGCCGCGCATGCATAAACGCTATCAACATCTGCATATTTCAGAGTCTAGGGAATAAAGAATATCTTACTCGTACTTGTTTATTGACAAAGTGATACGAAAAACCCTTGGAGTCTTTTTACAAAAAAAAAATATATATTACGAAAGTAAAGCTATGAAAACTGTGTCCCAGGATAAGTTGGTAGAAGCGATGTTTAAGCTCTTTTAGTCGTGATGCTATTTCGAAACTTCTCAAGGTCGCATCCTAAGAGCATTGACAGTGTATCGATAGTGAAACATTCACGATAATTCGAACTTGATAGAAGAGGGAAGAGTTCCGGGGATAAATCGAGGGCAGAAACTGTCGAAACTAAATGGGTGGATAGAAACCGCCCAGAGGAACGCCGCATTCTTGGCTGATTAGCCTAATGATGAGTCCTTCCCTGTTCTCATACTTGATGTCAGCTCGCTGCTCTTCTCTCTCCCTCCCTCCCTCCCCCCTCTCTCTCTCGCTCTCGTAGAGCCTCTTCGAAGATTATGCCACCCTCTTCACAGCCTCCATTTGGATCTCGACATCATCGTACCTCTTGACTTGATAAGAAATATTCCTTCAATTAGAAGTTTGGGTATTGATGCAGACTTTTTAATTCGACTTGACTTGCATCGAAAATATGCTCGCGATTAGCCCGAGAGCAGAAAGAGAAATGGAATATTCGACATATTCGAGTAAAGGCATTTCTGTACTCTGCGCATCAATTAGTATGTTCAGAGACTTATCTACTATTGGTTGGTGAATACAGATAGCTTCGTTCACTGCAGATTTATTCATACATACATTCATGCTACATGTTAATAGCAGTTCATCATTTTGTCTACTGAATCGTTGCAACGAAGATTAACGTGTGTTAACGCGGTCGCAAACGGTTTGCGCAAAGGCCAGGCACAAGCCTGACTCGCTTGGGTCAGGTTGTAACGGCCATGTTAATATTTGCGCAGCTCGATACAATAAAATTATATATAAAGCTCTCTCTCGACGGGGCGGAGCGTGTCGATTACGCGAGCGGGACGAGAAGTATTCCATCAATTACAATTCGAGAGGAACGTCAATATTTGGCCGGACAATAGCGGATTAACTTCGTGAAAGAATTGTTGATTCAACCGATACGCATTGGGAATATCGAGACTGTGCGGCGTATTGTCAGTAGTTGAAAGTTCATGTTGAAAGCGTGCGTCGAGTGAGATTTTATATTATTAACGGCTGTATATTTGCGATCAAGATATTTTGCAAAATGTGATGATACGCAAACGCAGTTGATATACCGTTTACAAATATATCAATAAATCTGTGACTTTTGACTATCAATGTCATTATGTGAAAGTGGTATTGATACACTTTACGACAGCTACAACTTTAATAGTAAGGGCCAATTTCACAAACGTCGGTTAACTGTTAACCAGAGTTCAGTCAACTCCTTTTTCTATCTTGTTCTCCAAGAAGAGACAGAAGATCAATTAACTTTTGGTTAGCAGTTAACTGACGTTTGTGAAATTGGCCCTAAATGACAAGTAAATGATTTCAGGATAGTTAAAATGTTATACATATGTATCAATGAATCAATTTGTAGGTTCACAGATTTTTCGTACGTACACATACATATACGTTTCAGATTTGGAAACAGTATATAAAAATTCACGCAAAAATATTATTAGGCCACTAAGGTGCGTATTTATAGTCGTGATTCTGCTGAAAAACTCACAATCAGCTAAAACCAGTCTTGAAACATGATACTGTTTAATAGATGAATCTTGAGACTTAATTTGATATTTGTTTGTAATTTCGCTTCAATAGAGATTCTCAAAGAAAGTTTTAGAAAATAGTTTTTGGATTTCGTATCATCTAAGATTTGAATCGAGAAAAATTGCTTATCGGCGCTTAATCGAGGTTTTGACTCTCAAGACAAATTTCGGGTGAGTAATCGATCGGGTGAGTAAAACAGTTCTAGAGATGTACTATATATAAGTGGCTGATAATAAAAAGTACTTACCAGCCGCGGCGGCCGCTTTACCCGCGTCCAACGTGCCATAGGGTGGTATACCCATATGGGCGGGAGGTGGTTGCGTCAGGTGGTCCCCGTTCGGACAGAAGAATGGCAGCCCACCTGGATGCGTCCCTGCCAAGCCCATCTTGCTCGCCTATAAAAAATAAAAAGCTATTAAATATTGTTTCATTTGATAATATCTCGGTGAATCAAATTGTATAAATGCGAGGGCGATCAATGTTACTTCGCAATTTTACGAAACATCACAGAAAAGTCATTTAGAATTGCTGCAATATGTATCTATACTCGACATAGCAGCATACGTTAAAGATCAATACAACGTTAAAATAAAAAATTAAAAGAATATCTAAAATCTTTCAATTGTTAACATTTATTAATAAAACATTATTACACAGTAATGTATATAACAAAATAATTAACAACGAAATGAATTTATCTGCGTGGTTTTGTCGCATCGTTAATGCTGGCCGCCATATTCAGTCGTCCGTAATCAAATCGAGCTACGCGATTGGTCGAAACCTTACTGTTGCTTCTTAAGGCCGAATCAGACTAGCAATTGCAGACTCGAATTGGCGATTGACTTCTAGCCAATGAGAGTTGAGTAAGTCGCTGGCTGCTCTCATTGGCTAGAAGACAATCGCCAATCGCCAATCTCAAACCGACAGTTGCTAGTCTGAAGCTGAAAACACACAAAGAAACTTAAGCAGTACGACTTAAGAATTTCAATCAATCGGAATTTTTGGCACTGCTTACGCCTTTACTCTCATTGGTCATTTTCCTTAAGTCTTACTGTTTAAATTTTTTCGTGTATTCGGGCTTTGATTCGGCCTTTACGGAACGAGGGTATTAAGGCCCGAACACTTGAAAAATCTTAAGCAGTAAAACTTAAGAATTAAGGGAAATGACCAATGATTGTCGAGAACGTAAGCAGCCATTTTGAAATGTCAGCAATGCTGAAAATTCCGATTGGTTAAATATCGTAAGTCTTAAGTTTCACTACTTAAGTTTTTTCGCGTGTTCAGGCCTTTAGTTTAATCCTTAGCATCGCGTCGGTAAATCTGCTCGCTTATCACGCACATGATATTACATGATGTAACGTACACCGTACGTACGAATGCGAATCGCACGAGTGCGTTCAGACGGTAACATCAACGGTATAAAAGGTGCAAGGATAACGCCAGGGATTTACCGTTGACATCTCTCGAAAGAAACACGATATCCAATTCGATTCGCTCCAAAGGGGAGCATATCGAGGAGTGCTTATCGAGGAGCAGCTCAAGCGTTAATTTGCAAAGACCGTGTGCGGGATTGCGGAGGGAGGAATGTACTTCTCGAGGCATGAGGGGTTCGTTCAACCTTTCCGTGCGTTCGTCTCGACGCGACGTATCGTCGAAATCGAGTGCCCTTCTCGAGGATAGCAGCGTAACCCACCCAGCACTTGTTCAACCTCCCTCACCCTCTAGCTGCTCTTTGTCAAGTGACAGTCGATGAAATTAGTTCAATCTGCTCGTAAGCTCGCAAGATCGCAGGCGTACGGTTTCGTCGCCGTCCCTCTCTTCTCGTTCTCCTTCTTCCGTTTCTCTTCTTAACGTTCCCGCGAACGATCGATATAAAGGCTCTCGAGGGATTGTCTCTTATCAGCCGCGATGCTTACCATAAGTGCGGCGGTATCGCGCATCGATCTGACCGCCAGTAGAAGTCCAGGATCGAGAGGTTCTCTTTCCATCCAGGTCAGTACTCTCGAGAGGAGTCCGACAGCTTCCTCGGCGGTGGGCTCGTCCTCGCCATCGTCTTCTTCGATGCCGTCGTTCTTCCCATCTTCATCCTCGTCACCATTGCGATCCAACCACTTATCAGTCTCTATCTCGACCTTCACCCGGCAGTGCTCCTCGTCCGGCTCTCTCTTCCTGACGAAGGGCGCCAGCGCGCTCTCCTCGTCGAGGATCCAACTACCGAGTTCGTCATCAGTGATTTCCAGTCCAACTTCCCTGGCGAGGCCCTGTAGCTCAACAAGCAGCATTCTATCCTCCTCCTGATCGACCGCGTGGATTCTGGGCGGCAACATGGCGCCGTTGCATCTCACGAGCGGATCATCGCGATCGCGCGGTAGCGTCCAGCTGCGCGCGAAAGTCTCCGACCGAACGCTGAGCCAGGCGCGATGAAGGTCCGCGAATGCTTCCTTCAGCGTGAACCTTTTTAGATACACGTCCAATCGGTGATCGCCCTCTTCCTCGGGCAGGCCCAAGATCGAGGGGGCTTTGTCACGGTAAACGCCACAGCGTGCTCTCGACAGTATACCGGTAGCCAGACGCACTCTCAACTCTCGGACCACCAGTCGGGTTTCCATGCAGTCCTTTGGTACAACAAACAGCCGTACAAGACCGTCCGCAGCGACGCAATCGCCTTCCGGTGGCAGGTAATCAGCACTCTCGGCTACCAGCACGGCGCCGTCCGGATGCATCGCCATCGCCGTGACTGCGAACTCACGGTGGAACCACCAGAGGAAGAGATCGGCAGTCAAGGAACCCCTGCCGCCGCCGGCGTACACCACCGGTTGGCTCAACATGTTGACCCTGCGTAGACAACGTGGTCGCCAGTGGCGGCCGGCCACCAACAATCGCGTCCGGTGGTGGCCCTCGTGATCCGCTGCCCCCACCACCCACACCCGTTCGCCGCTTGGCGTCGCGTCGCGGCTTCCGATGCTGCCGTCGTCGTCGCCGCCGCCGCTGCTGCTGCCGCCAGCACGTCGCTTACCCGGCAGATCCCGCCAGTCCAGGTAGCAAACGTGGGCAAGATAGATTCGACTACGGTCATAATTTTCCAGGGCACTTCTCAGTCTCTCGAGGGCGGACGACGAGGACGAGACGTGCGCGACGCCGTGATCGCCAGCATGGCCGCGCGGCGTCGTCGTCGCCGTCCGGCAAGATGTGGAGGACGTAGACACGGGGGAGGGGAATGGCGACGAGGAAGACACGGTGGTCGAAGAGGAGGAGATGGGCACCGACGTCGTCGCCCCTGTTGCTCCATGAGTCGTTTCGCCGTCGTCCCGTCTTGTCCCCGCGGCGTTCTGCCTCCGCTTTCCAATCCCGTCGTCGCTCTGATCGTGAGTGCTTCTCCGCCTGCTCCTAACCGCCGGTTTGATCGCCAACGGATCGCTCGTGACCGACGAGGTGGAGGAGCGCGCGGGCGACGAGGCGCTCGACGGCGGGGAGCTCGAGCGGCGCGAGGACGTGCAGGAAGACGGCGAGGAAAGCGCCGGCGGCGACGACAACGATGTCGACGAGCACGAGGTGCCGGTGGTAATCTTCTCGCTGTCTCTCGCCGGTCGATGCTTTCTCCCCGCGACGTGTCTCTCGCGTCGTCGCTGCCTCTCCGGATAACGATGCACCGGGGTACCGTTTTCACGGGCTGGCTCGGAGCTGCTCTCCAGGGGCTGGCGCATGCGCCCAGTCCACTGCGATCGACCCTCGTTGCACGCCGCCGTTACCGCGGGCTTGTCCATTCTCGTTGACGCGACTGCCGTTCCGCTTGACGTCACCGTCGTCGTCGTCGCCATCGTCGCCGCCGCCGCCGCCGCCGTCGTCGTCGTCGTCGTCGTCGCTGCAATCGTCTCTGTCGTCGCCATGGTCCCCTCGGTTTCCACAGGACCCAGAGAGACGTGCTGATCGCGCACTTGGCGCCCCTTGGTGGCTACCTTGCTGATACGCGCGCACTTGCCGCCGCGAGGCGGCATCGCACGATCCAAGCGCATTCACGGCCGCCTCGGAGTCACACGCGTGCATACGTGAAACGGAAGTCGACTCGTCGTCGTGTCGCAGATCACCCGACGGACGTGGCGAACGGCGAACTCGCGGCCGATCTCGGGGAGCTCATCGCGCGAGAGAGCGCGCGCGCGCGCGCGCGATCCGCTCATCTACGGCGCGCCGGCATCGCCTACAACCGAGCGATGACTGAGCGAGCGGCCGCGACGCGACCGTCAAAGGCCGGAGCGGGAACTAAAAGGCTTTGATGTACCGCCGCCCCGGCGCGCACAAAGCGAAAGCGGCTCCGACTCGTTGGTTGGCACGGCGCGCGGGGGAGGGGACGATGCGGCGGGGAAGCGAGGAAGTCGGAGCGAGATAACAGGAACGCGCGGCCGAGCGCGAGTGGTGGTGGCGGCGGTGGTGGCGACGGCGGCAGCGACGGCGGCGGAAACGAGACAGAGGGGGCACAACGAGATGAGAGACACGTACAGTCGCCTCCTCGTTTCAGCGTCCACGCGTATCTGCACTGTGCCCGGCCGCCTCATTCGGCGGATCTCGCCGCCGTACGCCCGCGCCGCTGCCCCGGGACTGTACTGCCTGTCGACGGCGATAAGATAAGATTTTCGTCTCCGAGAGCGCCTACCCGTCGAGCCTACAAATTTCTCCGATGCCGTTCGATGCATCGGAACGACGCGAATGTGGTCTGGAAGCCCCAAGCCCTTGTCTTTCAAATTCGCTGTAACACCCACTCGGTTTATTTTCCTCCTTCTATCGCGCCTATGTGGAGCCACTGATCAAAGGTCGCGAGAACAACGACGTAATGTCTGCTAATGTTACAATTCGCGAGTCCGCGGAAATATAAACGCGAGCGACAATTAGCGAGCACACGCTAAACGTTGCCGGGCACGTCCGAGACGTCGTGTGCGCATCAACGACGACCAGCTGCCGAAGACGTTGGGGGAGCGCGAGGTCTGAATACGGGCCAAAGTCAACTAAATATACCGATCCATTTGGCCGCGTAATGGCGGCCGGCGTGTTTGGAGAACGCTTCTGCTAGCTTGCGCGAAACAAGTTAGTCCACAAAGAGGCGCAGATTTGTTTCTGCGCTACGGAGTTAAAAGCGCGGGCCTTTTCACCGGTGTTTGTTCAGGCTGTTTATCGCGCGCGCTAAACGTAGATCGTTGACACCCGATCCCGTGGCACTGTAATCAGAACGATCCCCCAATCGGAAAAACAACGCTTCCGGTGAATTATACTCGCGATTAATCAAGCCCGTTTCCCCGTCTGCCGTCGCGCGGGCGTGACTAATTTTATACAGACAAAGCGAAAATAAACTTTGTATCTTGAATGCTTACACATGTACTGCATACGATACGCGCCGCTGTTAACGTATGCAGAATTACCCATTGGCATTCGTTTTGCTTAACATCAATTGAAACTTAAATCCGACGTTCGTCCGCGTCGAAATAATGAAACGGTGCAAAGTGCGGCCGGCGATAAAAATTTCGCGAGGTCCCTTGTCGACTGAAAAAAAATGCCGAATTATTAAAGAGAAAGAGGGAGGACAAGGCCGAGTGCGGGGAGAAGAGAAAGAGATGCGAGGCGCGACGCTGAGATTAATATTACAAATCGGATTTAGCCTTGGGCGCTGGTCGCGCGCATGATTATCGGCGTGTCGGCATTTCATAAACGCGTCCACATCAAACGCAGCGGGTCGGTCGATCGCGATAATATTTGTCACGTAGTTGCGGTACGTGGCGGCAGGCAGGCGTGTGCACCGCGCGGCTATACGGTAATCGATCGGCTATGCCAGCAGCCAGGTAGGTAGGTACTATGCGTGATTACTCTCTCAGGTACGTCGCCTGCTATCTACACGCCCCCGGACTTTTAGGCGTACGCGAGTAAGCGAGCGCGGTCCGGTGTGTTATTGGAGACGAAACGATCCGTACGATCGTCTGCGTTTCGAACTTGATGCCGAATGCACTGTGCTTTAAATTGCGTACTAACGCCGGTGACATTTTCTTTGTCGGTAATTATAATAAATAACTGAACAAGTAATATTCGGCTACACCTGGCGGAAATTCTATTGCGATATTACGTCAAAGATTAGTCTCTTCAAATTGCCAGTATAATACTAAAATTCCAAATTTTATTCGATCACAGCTGGCCACATTTGTTAATTTCTCTGTCAATGCAGAAAATTTATTACCTCAGCCAGGGTTTGAACCTGGCCCTCCCTACACTCTAGGCGGGCGTTTCACCAATTCGACCACCGAGGCATATGATAATATTTGTCGCAATAACAGTATAAAGATGTTGTCTACGCGTCTATGTTTCGACTTTAAACTGCGCGCCGATTTTACTTCAGCCAGGGTTCGAACCTGAACCTGAACCTGAACCTCCTACACTCTCGGGCGTCTCACCAATTCGACCACTGAGGAACGTGCTAATAGTGTACTAATCTTCGCGAGATCGATACTAGTAAGTAGAAATATAATCTTCATCTTCAACCTGGAACCTGAAACCTCCCTTTGAAAATATATTCAACACTTTTATTATGCAAATTGAACCCAAACTATCGATTGAGTCCACTTAAAAGTTCATCGGATCAGCCGTTGTTGAGATCCGAAAATCTCTGAGGGCCTGTCAACTCGCGTACTCGCGCAAACTACACGGTCGGTCTCGCGCGCGCGGTTCTAGCTACGCTTATACTTGGCGCGAGACACTGCCGTGTCTCGTGATCGTGATGTCTAAATTTTTGCTGTGTTCTTTTTCATCACTAGTTTTATTTATCGTTGCTTCGTTTGGCAGGGCGAGGAAAGACTTAAGACTCGAAGTTCATTCAAAGAATACACATCCGTTTGCTTTATGTCTTACAACTTCTTCGGGTTGCGTAACGGTTCGCGTGTCCGTCTTTCTATCGTGATAATACTGGAGTTTGCAAGTTAGGCAATACCACGGTATCTAGTAACACTCAGGATGGAAACTAGCCGCGCACGTTCTCGACTAACGATTTTAGAATGCCGAACACAATCAACGCGGCGTATCTATTGCCATATCTGCTCCAAGATCGTACAGGCTTCCTTTCTACGACCGCGATATAAGAGCAACGAGCTTATCTTCATGTACGTGTAGTTTTTAATTGGATTATCTGTCCCGGAACGCCGCCGTTACAGCGCCGATAAAACGCATTTCCATGTAACGCCCGCGACCCCGACGAAACATATTTTAACGATAGCCTTGGCGATAGAACGTACGGCACATATATCATATCCTTTTCTCGCGGCGTTCTTTGTCGCCTCGATTGAGCAATTTGAATCCCGCGCTTCATTTAATAGTCAGATGCCTCTGTGCAACTAAATTATCGCGCAAAAAGATAATCGCACACTGTACCTTGAAGAGCTAGAAATAGAATCTTCATTTATTTTAAAACAGCGAGCTTACTGTCAACTGGCAAATTTTATTGAATTCGTCCCAACATTTTTCGACCTTACTTCAGGCCCTTTTCAAGTAACAATACAAATGAGAAAACAAGAAAAATTCCTAGACAAGTCATCGTCGTCCGTGAGATAGAGTCAAAAGATAAAAATTAGCGCACGTCCGAACATTATTGAGGCTCGACTAGTAATATTATTCAACCGTACCTGGCGGAAATTTTATCGCAAAAAATATTACCTCAGCCAGGGTTTGAACCTGAACCTCCCTACACTCTATGCAAGTGTGGTTATTCACTCTGTTCTCAGTTGACTTCTCATGTTCACCTGGACAATCGATTTGTTATATACCCTCCTAAGTTGTAACGTTCTCCGAAACTTGTAGACTTATTTCCTCGAGAAGGGCCACAACCCGGCTGTGGTCGAAACGTCGGAACAATTTAAATAAACCACCTGCCAGTTTAAGTTGTGTACAATTCTTTCTTTCGTAAACAGAATCTGTATAGATTTTGTACGGGACCAACTGTCCTAAATTGTCTACAATATTCAACGCAGAGTACTCATTAATTAATCATCGCCCCATCGCGTTGCGGAAAATAATAATCATTACGTCCAGTTTATCGCGAATAATTACGAAAAAGGGCGCGCTGATATTTACATAACTAGCGCGCAGCTACGCGAGCCGACCGTTCGGTCTATTCTCTTCTCTTCTCTCCTCCGAGGCCTTCGTGGAAATACATGCAACGAAAACTGATACCTTGCGACTGCCGAGAACCGGATACCGGCAGGATCCGACGCGAAACGCGGGTATTATCGATCGTGACTCTCTCGCAGGACGAGCTGCGCGGATATAATCGAATTACCTGGCGAATTTGCGAGGAGGGTGGCCGGAGACCGATTCCAAGTTTCGGATGTTGTCTCTCTCTCTCTCTCTCTCTCGACTGCGTCAGAGCCAAATCGTCAAGAGCAGCCTCCCATTTCTCTTCTCCGAGAAAGAGAAGGGGGGAGGGGAGTGAGAGAGAGAGAGAGAGGGAGAGCGCAAGATTTTACCATCGATTTAACCCCCTTCAACCTGCTACCCCTCTCCCTCTTTCGCATGCAATAACACAGCCATACGAATCCTCCACGCGGAAGATCGAATCGGACCCGTCTCTTTTCTTCCCGCCTTTAGTACGGCGACAATTCGATTCACCCTGTAGTCGTGGCGAAAAAGTGTCAGACAAGAGCGGAACTCTCCCTCTCGATCGAGGAATCTCGTAACGTCGTAACAAGTTCAACTCGTCGACATCGGAGCTCTCCCGAAAGAGGGTCGGCGTCGGATTCGCGTTGAAAAGCGATGCAATGCCCATTCGGGCAGG